TGAACACAATTATAGAATCAATAGAGATCTGAACACAATTATAGAATCAACAGAGATCTGATTACAATTACAGAATCAACAGAGATCTTAACACAATTATAGAATCAACAGAGATATGAACACAATTATAGAATCAACAGAGATCTGAACACAATTATAGAATCAACCGAAATCTGAACACAAATGCAGAATCAACAGTGATCTGAACAAATTTTAGAATAAACAGAGATCTGAACACAATTATATATAGAATCAACAGAGATCTGAACACAAATATAGAATCAACAGAGATCTAAACACAATTATAAAAACAACAGAGATAAGTACACAATTATAGAATCAACAGCTAGATATGAACACAATTATAGAATCAACAGAGATATGAACACAATTATAGAATCAACAGCTAGATATGAACACAATTATAGAATCAGCAGAGATATGAACACAATTATAGAATCAACAGAAATCTGACCACAATTATAGAATCATTAGAAATCTGAACACAATTATTGAAATGAACAGAGATCTGAGCTAATTATAGAATCAACAGAGATCTGAACACAATTATAGAATCAACAGAGATACGAACACACTTATAGAATAAACAGAGATCTGAACACACTTATAGAATAAACAGAGATATGAACACAATTATAGAATCAACAGAGATGTGAACACAATTATAGAATCAACAGAGATTTGAACACAATTAAAGAATCAACAGAGATCTGAACACAATTATATAATCAATAGAGATTTGAACACAATTATAGAATCAACAGAGATCTGAACACAATTACAGAATCAACAGAGATCTGAACACAATTATAGAATCAACAGAGATCTGAACACAATTATAGAATCAACAGAGATCTGAACACAATTATAGAATCAACAGAGATCTGAACACAATTTTAGAATCAACAGAGATCTGAACACAATTATAGAATCAACAGAGATCTGAACACAATTATAGAATCAACAGAGATCTGAACACAATTATAGAATCAACAGAAATCTGAACACAAATATAGAATCAACAGAGATATGAACACAATTATATAATAAACAGAGATCTGAACACAATTATAGAATCAACAGAGATCTTAACACAGTTAAAGAATCAACAGAGATATGAACACAATTATAGAAACAACAGAGATATGAACAAAATTAAAAAATCAACAGAGATCTGAACACAATTATAGAATCAACAGAGATATGAACACAATTATGGAATCAACAGAGATCTGAACACAATTATAGAATCAACAGAGATATGAACACAATTNGGTTGAAATGTCATGTTTTTCGTTATCTTCTTAAGTAAACATGCATTTTGTATCTTATGAAATGTCTAATTTAATAATTTTTTAAGTTACTGAAATCTATAACCTAATAAGTAAGAACGAACTTTATTTTTTGCATATTTTTGTATAAGAAGTCAAATATCAACTCAGAAAATTAATTGTACATTTGTCTCACTATAGTTTCAGTAGAAGTAAATATTTCAATTTACTGATAGCACAATTGAAGGATTCATCATAACTCTGATTGGATAATGAGATAGATAGAAAGATAAATGATTGTTACCGCCATACTATTTCTATTGGTTCAGAGTAAACAGAAAACACATGACTGAACCCTGATTTGATCAGGCACTAATGGACTCGGCGGCATACAGGAGTGGTGTGTGCATTAGTATAAATTCTTTTTAATCTACAAAAGTAAACAAATTGAACGTGAAATAGAAAACTCTGAAATAGGAAGATTACTTTAAGACTAGGATTGATATTATAAAAACTTGAAAACAGCAATTGTGCGAAGTACCATCTAGATCAAATAGATACTAGTACAAATTTGTACACTCTCAGTACAGCTGTATTCTGACGTCACTTAAGTGCCAATTCAGTTTTTGTGTCCAACAAAATTACTAACCATATAGTGATAATTTTAGAATAAAGTGCTTTTCTTAAAGTAAAATAAGTGCATTTTTATGTGTTCTTTATTTTCTGTTTTTACACTTTTTTTATTTAATCTTGGAAAACATTTCGTTTTCCTCGTTATATTTGACACTTGTGACGTCTTGTATATTTGGTCCATTTCTCTGTTGCCCCCTATTTGATCCAGATGAACTTTCAATATAGTCTCAATTTTCTCAATTTTCTATCCTACCTAAAAGTTTTCTTTTTTACCATCAAGTAATTATTCATCACCCTTCTTAGCATCAATAAAATGGCAGCTCTTTATTTTAACTAGCTAAAGGGCCCGTGGAAAAAAATTGAATAAATTTTTTTTAATTCCGATTTTTAGCCTATAACACCCCCGGCCGACCATGAGTGTCCACAAAAAAGTCCAGCCCATTTAAAATTCGGTGATAGTAATAAACCAAACCTCTGTAGAGTAAAAAAGTAGATATGTTAGTTCCACATTTATTGAAAATATATTTCGGTCTGGGTTGACCCTGGTTAAAATCAGCCCAATTGTTCCAACCGTTTGACCGGCTAAACACTTAACATTTATACGTATGTCTTGTTTTATTACATAGGCCATATCTGCTTATGGGACACTCATAAATGTTGTAAGATAGAGTGATAATTTTTCCGCAACTGCAGTACTTTACTGTTTCGTTTATTATTCAAACCAATTTGCTTATGGGACACTCATAATTTTATAAGATAGAGTTATACTTTATTGTTTCGTTTATTATTCATAACAATATTTTTACACCTTCAAAATTGACGGAGATACTATAAGAAATAGGTCAAGATACTTATTTATAAATAACGATAAAATAGTTCAAATGTTTAATATCTCCGTCAGCTTTGAAGATAACATATTTTTTAAAGCTCATGAAGACGTATAACCATTATTTTAATACACTCTTTGTCATTTATCAACTATCGGAAATCGAAGACGACATTTAATTCATCTCTTCATTCCTGTGTATTTGGGGACACCCTGTACATGCACTTTATCCTCATACAATCCAAGGTATTAAACTAATACAAGGAAAGTTATTTCATAGGTGTACGCATTTTTTGTAATGAAGTGTAGTGTCTTAGGGCGGACAAGTAAACACAAGACGGATGTCACAGCCTGACATGGAATCCATTTCCACAAAAATAAACCATGAAATATTATGTGAATAGGAGAATTATTATGTGAATTTTCAAAATTTTCAAAATTAAATGCTTTATCTTCCTTGGATACTAGACGAACACTGATGCATCTAATCTTGTTTACAAATTCCGCCCAGAGAGAACTGGTTTCAATATGTACGCAGTATATTCGCAACCGCAATTAACTTTCCTTGCTTAAATACCTTGATGCAATCTATCATCAAAACTCTGGAAGCTAAAAGCTCTGAAAGCAAAAATTCAAAATGTCGTCTTGCAAGAATTGTCTCGTAATATGATGAAAACTTTATAAATCAAACCAATATGAGATAGAGGTGCAACCAGGGCCGGGTAGAAGGAGGGTTATTCTCAAAGAGATGAAAATATATATTAGAGTGGAATTTAGACAATCTCTCGGTATGAATTTTGTCAGTGCCTTTCAGCCTGAAAGGGAGTTCAAAGTGGACAAATCATGTAAATGTTCACAAATTATATGCAGTAGAGTATATCATTAATAAAATATGTTCCCTCTATTTCAATTTCGAATTTTTTAAAGCATGTTAAATAAACTTTATGAAATGAATTAGGTGAATAAAAAAATCATTTGATTTATAGTTATAACGGAAAATCATCGTTTGTAAAGTGAATGGCGTAGAGTCTATGTGAAATGATCATTGGTATTATGAAACCAGCCATAATTTGGTTTTCTTTTAATATTGATTTTAGATTTTCTAAAAAATGATGTTCCAGGGCCCAAAAGGTTATATAGCACAAATATGTGAAGTACACCTGCAGTATGGAAACAGTATAACAAGGAGGCTTTTTTACACCTTTTTAGAGTAAATTCCACTCTAATATATATACTATTCTCTTTGGTTATTCTATGTAAAGTCCCCCTTTATGAGCATAAAGCGCCTTGTAAACCTATAAAAATGCTAAAAGATCTAACAAGTGTTGTAATGACCTAAACTGCTATTAACTGCAAATAGTGCAGTGTAAAGTGTAATAAACATTAATTAACTTCACTTAGTACTAATTAGGTATTTTGACGAGTGTTTTATATACATACAAATTCCTAATGGGTTTATTAGGACATCGAATTATAAACAGACTGAGCTAGCCCCTCGCACCCCCCACCCATCCTTATTTTATGGTCTCCCCTTCCATTTACTAATATCGACAATTGAAGGCTTCATAACTCTAATTGGATAATGAGATGATAGATAGAAAGATAGATGTGGATGATAGATAGAAAGATAGATGTTAACGCCATATTGTTTCCATATTGTTTAGAACAAACAACACACACATGACTAAACCCTGATTGGATCAGGCGCTAATAGACCGGCATACAGGAGTGTTTAAATACTGGGGAACCCACAAAGTAAATATTAGTGACCAATTTGAAGCAAAAATTTTCAAACAAAAGATTAAAGTCAGGATATGTCTGGTCTAATATGACTGATGACTTCTTAATGCCGTTTATTAAGTCTGTACTCCTAAGGGACCATTGTTCACAATAAACTCTACCTAACGTCTCCCAAGGGACCCTTGTACACAATATACTTTACCTACCATCTCCTAAGGGACCCTTGTACACAATAAACTTTACCTAAAGTCTCCAATGGGACCTTTTTACACAATATACTTTACCTACCATCTCCTAAGGGACCCTTGTTCACAATAATCTCTACCTAACGTCTCCTAAGGGACCCTTGTACATAATATAATTTACCTACCATCTCCTAAGGGACCCTTGTACACAATAAACTCTACCTACCATCTCCTAAGGGACCCTTGTACACAATATACTTTACCTACCATCTCCAAAGGGACTCTTGTTCACAATAAACTCTACCTAACATCTCCTAAGGGACCCTTGTTCACAATAAACTCTACCTAACATCTCCTAAGGGACCCTCTCCAGGAGAATGATCATATTGTCGAGGAACAGTCCAATCATCCAAACCATGGAAATCAATCAGAGACCTGAACACAAACATAGAATCAACAGAGATCTGAACACAATTATAGGATCAACAGAGATCTGAACACAATTATAGAATTAAAAGAGATCTGAACACAATGATAGAATCAACAGAGAGCTGAACACAATTATAGAATCAACAGAGATCTGAACACAATTATAGAATCAACAGAGATCTTAACACAATTATAGAATCAACAGAGATCTGAACACAATTATAGAATCAACAGAGATCTGAACACAATTATGAAATCAAAAGAGATCTGAACACAACTATAGAATCAACAGAGATCTGAATAAATATTAAAATCAGCAGAGATCTAAAGACAATTATAAAATCAATCAGAGATCCGAATAAAATTGTACAGTATTGTTACATTTTAAAGGTTTTAAACTTGTATAAACATCAGGACATGGTTTAGATTTATAATAAGAAGCTAATGGTCCTAATTATTTCAAGTGACGGGACAAAGTAAAATACTGAAAATGTTAATCTAAAAACTGTACCTGGCAGGATATGGAACATCTCCCCTGCCTATAAAGGGTGCTCCTGATACAGAACCAAACCCTCCAAGGTTTAGGTGGGAGTAGGAAAACATCCTTATCAATAGAACTTTACAGTTAAGAGACAAATTCAAAAAAAAACTTAAAAGTTACTGTTAATGTAATGTTAAGTTATCCTAAATAATTTAAGAGTGCTATTTGTCCAATTCACATTGATTGCCTATAATAGCACGTTTGAAATTATGTTTACAGTAAAAAGAATTAATACAATACAATACAAATGTTTAAGACGGAAAACCCAAATTTCAAGACCAAATTTCGTGAATTTGAGCAGCATCGCTGAACCACCCACTGTTGGTTAAGTATCAACTGATTCAAAGTTAAGGGTTTAGTAGGGATTTGAATTGGTGATTCAAATGTAATCCGCTATTAAAATTCATTAAATTTGGTCTCTGGTCAAAAGACATAGATTTAATTTCTTAAATAGGTATTTTTTACCTATTTTTTAAATATTTCACCTGTAAGTAAAAGTGCCTCCATTGGAGTATCCAGAAATATGAACATGTTTGTTATCAACACAATATGTCTCCTAAAAGAAATCCTTGGAACAATGTGTTCTTTTCTGTTATTTGTATAAAAGCCTTGAAATAGTCTGAACGTTCCCACCCCTAGATATGATTGTATGCAAATGCTAATACACAACAAACTAAACTAGTGGGGTTTAAATCAAATAGGCCTATCATAGGCCGGGTACTGTAAAAAGTTTGGCCGCGTCATCCAAGGTAAATCCAAGCCACCACATTTATTTCTCTAAAATAGGATCATTCATTTGGCGAAATATCCCGGTTTGTCATAAGCAGTCTTTAATTGTACTGTACATTTGGCTATAATTGGTTCAAATTCGGTCCGTTACTTGAAATTATTATGTGTTTACAGTGTGGGTTCAGGCTGGTCAATCATGGGGGGTCTTTGACAATAATTTGACCCAGTCCGCCGTGAATATTTGAAATTTTTACAACTTTTTAAAACTTGACTGTTCCTTGAGAGGTCTTTACCTGAATGTTTTGAATCAGCTGTTCAATGAAAGCCTGGTCGTTGTAGCACGTGGTACCGGCAGTACACCCGTACGCCGGATTGCACCACTCACTGCAGCTAGTGTGACACTCATTCTCCCCGTACTCACTTCGGTCAGGGTCACATCTAGAATTAATACCGAATTTTACAAGAAACTAGCTGAAGGGCCTTGCGTTGCCCGTGGAAAAAAATGAAAAAAGAAGAAAAAAAATGTGGATAAAAAATGTTGGCTATAGGCAACATATATATATTGATATGCATGTCTTGTTTTATTACATAGATGGTGCTTTTAATGCTTTAACTTAATTTTCGCAGCAGAAACTCTTAATGTAAAGCATTATCTACGACAACCACAATCTCTCAATGGCATAGAGACATTTTTTAGAGATCCAAATGAATCAATACGAAAGGTTTCTTTTATATGTTTTGTTATTAATTTATGTGTGTGTTAATGAATTGATTTCGATTTAGAAAGTAAAAAAGTGAGGTTTAATTTTGTTTGTGATCTAATAATATGGCCCCAAAAGGTTGTTTTCTGGGAGGAATAAATTATAAAAGAATTAAACAAAACTGAAAATGAGCAGCACTGTTTTGGTTTGCTTTCTACTTAGAAGCTATTAAGCGAAGGGAGGAAGGCCAACCACAACTATTTCTCGTCCGAGCTACATTCTCCTTATTTTCTCGTTCTCGAAATTCTCGTTCTTTCATTATGATTTTTGAAGTGTCTAATCCCAGATACAACTATTTTTATAGAATCGGGCCACGTTAGGGGAGAACAGAAATAATATCGAATTTGTGTAACTCGAAAAAAACGTTCCAATTGAATTAAAATTTTCAAGTTTCATGTCTTTAAAAATTTTTACTTTCTTTACGCGCAATTTCAGATATTCCTGGTGTAGAATTTCAGATATTCCTGGTGTAGAATAGATATATTCCTGGTGTAGAATAGATATATTTCTGGTGTAGAATAAATATATTCCTGGTGTAGAATAGATATATTCCTGGTGTAGAATAGATATATTCCTCGTGTAGATTGCCACAAATTATCCCAAGTTTATAGATCTTCCATCTTTTTTGTTAACTGTAGTAAAACCATAGAATTTTTACAGGTTCCATGGAGAAAATTATAGACAGAGGTATGCCAAATATTTTGCTATTTATTTTATATCGCGAAGGTTTGTCATTACGGAGGCAGAAGAGATTTAAGTTTTACCTAAATAAAGTTGAACGTCATTCTCATGGGTTTGAAGATTCCAACATGATATAATCAATGCATTTCTTTAGCCCATCCATATTTATGCCCTAACGTAGCCAGAATTTTAAACAATAGTTTTATCTTCGAGATTGGAAACTTATAAACAAATAACAATCGAAGGATGAGGATTCCGAGGTGGCTCGGACGAGAAAATAAGGAGAATGTGGCTCCAACGAGAAATTGTTGTGGCTGCAGGCTTTCCTCCCCTCGGTCATCTATTCTTTAATTGGCTAATGCAGTTTAGAATAAATGTTTAATGATGCTCTGGAAATATACTACAAAAACATAAATAAGACTCTGTGGACTGACAAATATAGTTTTAGGAAATTTAACTAACCGCCAGCCATACTCGGTATCGTATTCCTTTGTGATATTCCAAGTTCTAGTCCCACTCTCTGCATCAGGTATTCCATTAGGGACTACTATAATCAGTCCCTCCTCCTCTCCTACCTAACAATATGTAATCTGTTTGGGACTGCGAACATACTGGGTGTCCCACAAAACCTGGCAGTTGGTGAATAGTTTAAAATTTCTTCTCTCATAATTTGTATACTTGTTTGATACCAAAGAGAATGAGAACAAAATATTTTATGACAGTCCTATTATAGTAAAATTTATTTCAAATGTAAAATGAATTTTAGCGAAAGGATTTTTTTTAACGAAATAAACAGAACAAAAAGTCTTTTATATTTTCTACAGTATAAGGAAGAAGACATTCAAAACTATTCACCAACTGTCATGTTTCGTGGGACACCCTGTAGATACCTTTTCCTCCCCTACCTAACAAAGGGTTAATTTTTTATTTTAATCATAGATTCATTTAGAACAAACTCACACACTTAGCATAGTAAATAAGAATTTTTTCTCCTAAAAATTAAATTTAACATCCCTGTATTTTTGCAAAAACTATAATATTTCTAAATTATTTGACTCTTCAAAGCTTAATTTGATTTCAAAACTTAAGTCATCAAAGGTCTAAGTAAATATTTTGCAAATACATAAAAACTAAACAAATTTCAATGCAATATTGTCAGTTTTCTAGACCCTGGCATTAAAAGGTGAAGTAGAAAAAAAATTATCCATTTTTTATTTCTTCTCTTGAAATTGGAATTAATATTTGATTTTATCCACTCTTCTTTTACCCTACTCGAACATTTTTCCATTACTGATAATATCATTGCACATTTCCTAGGATTTTTATATAGAGCAAAAATGTTGTTTTCACATCGAAAATGAAGCAATTATCATAAATAAAAGGTGATCCATTGTTTAAGTAATTATGTCAGCAAATATGTCTCAAAATACAACGATAAAATTTTTAATGATAAAATTAATGAGAATTTAATTGACATTTTTTCAATAGTACTGATGTCCGGTATAAAAGAATAGGATTTTCACAGTTAAATTTCCATTTTACCTCCATCAATATAGACGGTCAGAGACAGTTGGAACACACTAATTGAAAGAGACACCGTTATGTATTTAGAACATTTAGAACATCAAAAAACAAAAGATTTGAAACAGAAAATAATCCTTTTACTTTATAATAAGGTTAATCCTATGTTGAGGTTAATTCAATATTTAATTTAATTGAATATTTGTTGTTTAGATTGAAGGAATTATATTTTTCATATCATAATTAATGAAATTTGATGATACTTCGAAATGATATCGTTTTATGGAAAGAAACTTTTTTTTCTATTTCTTTTTTCAGAAGCAAATACTGTTTTCTTACCGCATCCCACAAAGAATCCTTGATATGCCAGTCAGCTGATCCACCCCAACCATGGAAATCTGGAAAGATATTTTTCATTTCACTTTGCACTTTAGACCAAATGGCGTTTTCATCAAAAAAATGAATTATTGCAAAGTATCAGAATTTTTTAAATTATGACGAACACGATAAGGCTATAATAATTCTTTTAGTTTATAATAATACTTTAATTAGGCTATAATAATATTTCTATCATCTTCATTACATAATGCAAATTTTATCCTGTGCAGTGGCTCAAGGGTTGTAAGTAGTTTTTAAAAACAAACTAAAAAACTTGGCGAAGCATGAAACAAAATGTAAAGTTGATGTCCTAGGCAAATAAAAATGTGAAGTTAAAATGGAAATTTATATATAGTACATAGTATCTATATATAAATTTAGCTTGTCTGGGTGTCTGTTTGTTTGCTTGTATCCAATAAACGTCAAAACGGCTCAACCGATCAGGCCCAAACTTTGTGTGGACCCTCACGTGATCCTAGGGAAGGTTTATGAATTAACAAAATAAAAAAATTGCCACCATCAAAATTTGATCTTCAAAATTTTTTGAAAATCCACGAAATTTTTTGTTGAAATCCGCAAATTTTTTTGTTTTGTTTTACAATGTACACAAAGAGAACGTGTTCACAATTGAAATAGAAGATGAGCGCGAAGCACCCAAAAGCCTAGTATAGCATATATACCATATATACCTAGTACAAGGGGAGAAGGGTTGTCTGGAGTATAAGTGGATGGAATATAGATAAGATATTCTCTCTCAGTTCCTCCAAAGTAAGGATCTGATGTTTGAATAGTTCTCCATAGTCCCCCTGCTCCCGGTTCACCTGCAGATATACAGTGGTAGTAAAAAAAAACTATGGAATAGGATGACGATATTCCTATCTTTTTAAGGTTTTTTTTAAAGCAAATAGTTTTACCATATAGGTTACAGCCAACACTGCTGAGAGAGATTAATTTAAAAGATCTTTAAAAATCTTAATTGATTCAACCGATGCATGTATAGCATAAAAATGTAAACAATTTTGAGAAAACAAATTTTTCAAATCATTATCAGTCAGCCAACTTTGTAGTCTTTCTTTAACTACAAGGTGTCCCACGAAACATGACAGTTGAAAAATAGTTTTGAATGTCGTCTTTTATATACTTTATTATGATATTTAAGGCTTTTTTACAGTTTATCTTTACTCAAATACATTTTACTTTTTAAATGAATTTTACTATAACATGACTCCCATATAACATTTTTATTATTGTTTTTGGCATTAGACAACTTAACAAATTATGGAAGAAGACATCCTAACTGTCATGTTTCGTGGGACACCCTGTTTATTGAATTATTGAATTTCACCAAAAAATATATTGAAATATTTATTTTTATTTTTGGCCATTTTTAGAAATATTTGCATGTTTTAAATAATAGTGTTGCTCTTAATATTTGCAATATATTGTTTGTTTAAGACCTGAATATTCAGAGTTTATAAAGAGACTGTTAGACGTAATATTAACCTTTTGAGAGAGACAAAAAAAAAATCTATTTTTTTAGAATGAAAAACAATGATATCTTCCTACTTGCTGGCGCTGCTCAGATTTAAAGGTTTAAAGGGTGCCATATACGTAGTAGTAGTAGAAATGATGTTAAAGAAAGATGGACAAACGACTTAGATCGTTCAAAGAAATAAAAAACAAACGAATTTAACATTTTTCGGATGATCTTGAAAAAGCAATCGTTTATTTACTAAACACCAAATTCTCATAACAAGTTTGATACATACAATTGTTTTTTAGGGAAAAAACGAGTTTTTAAAGAAAGTTTTGAACGATAGTTTCATTTCTAAACGACCTATATTATTGATTGAACGATTTTACAGAACGAACAATTTTACTGAACCGATATTTTTAAGAACGAACGAAATAACGAAGTTTTGTAACAAATTAAACAAACGAATGGGTTTTTCACGAATCATAAATGAACAAACGCATCAATCTCAATCACAAATGACACAATCAGCTTTATCGATTGCACCTTAATTTAAAAAGTCATTGCCGCCAGCAGAATCCTTAAAATTCTATATCAGAAGAACATAATTTAATATGTGCCACCGTAAATTTCACTTTATTTCAGGAACCGGGACGACTTTTCAGGAAACTAAATAGAGCAAGCTGTACAAAACAGTTAAAAACAGACTATATAAGGCAAATCAGAACAGTGCTCGAATGAATCAGCTCTTTTTACGGAAATTGAAATGATCCTCATATAGTCAATGATTCCCTATTCGCAAAACTAATTAATTGATATCGAGAAGTAGTTAAACTAAGATCGATTAGTTTAACTACTCTTTCTGATCTTTTGTTTACCTTCATGAAGAATCCCACACCCTGAGGATTGAGAGTGAGCTATTTGCACAAAAACGCTTCCTAAGAAAGAAATCTTTTTTAGTTAATAAAAGTAAAATAAATGTTGTAAATGTGAAAAATGATTTTTTTGTAAAGGAATTGGGTCTTTGCCACAAACTCATATTTTCTAATACCAATATTTTTTTCCACTTGATAATGTAAACCTTTGATATTTCAAACTTAGATTCTTTCATTTAACAGATTTCGTAGTTTGAAATCTCTAAGGTCTACGGCATTGTGTTGCAAAAATATAGAGATTAGAAAATCATAGTTTGTGACAAACTTCTTCTGAATAAAAAAATACATATTTTAAAGGGGATATTCGCGTACTTTCAAGTAAAAGAGTGGCAAGCCTGATTCTCAATGATACCCTTTAAAGCTTTGTCAGATCAAGAATAAATGTTTATTTTTATTTGCGGTTTTCTGAAAAAGTAACTTGCGCATTTCTTGCTTTAGAAACAATGAAAAATTTAAAGAATTTTTCAAGTCAGAAGACTTTATCATCCACATCAATCAGGTTTTTAAGGTTACCGTTGTAAATGGAGGATGCCCCTCTTTAAATAAAGGATCACTGAAAACTACTACGACGACATCTAATCACATACATGCACATTTGCACAAAAAAAATTTCTTTTATCCAATATGTTTTACAAAAGATTTGACACTTAGTTTCAGTAAAAGTAAATATTTCCATTTACTAATATCGACAATTGAAGGATTCATAACTCTAATTGGATAATGAGATGATAGATAGAAAGATAGATGTGGATGATAGATAGAAAGATAGATGTTAACGCCATATTGTTTCCATATTGTTTAGAACAAACAACACACACATGACTAAACCCTGATTGGATCAGGCGCTAATAGACCGGCATACAGGAGTGTTTAAATACTGGGGAACCCACAAAGTAAATATTATTGACTAATTTGAAGCAAAAATTTTCAAACAAAAGATTAAAGTCAGGATATGTCTGGTCAAATATGACTGATGACTTCTTAATGCCGTTTATTAAGTCTGTTGAGTTACCTATTTATCTACATAGTTCACAAGTTTTGACTATTTTAAATTAGATCAACAATCATTTAAGCATGAGGCTTAGCAAAATTTTAGACATAATGCTTGGATCGGTTGCAACCTTTACACATTTAGAAAAAGATGAATTACCTATGAGTGTGAGTAAAATCATTTTCACCCAAAGATTTGGATGGCAACTGAGATAAATTATTCATTAAGGTTGAAATGTCATGTTTTTCGTTATCTTCTTAAGTAAACATGCATTTTGTATCTTATGAAATGTCTAATTTTATAATTTTTTAAGTTACTGAAATCTATAACCTAATAAGTAAGAACGAACTTTATTTTTTGCATATTTTTGTATAAGAAGTCAAATATCAACTCAGAAAATTAATTGTACATTTGTCTCACTATAGTTTCAGTAGAAGTAAATATTTCAATTTACTGATAGCACAATTGAAGGATTCATCATAACTCTGATTGGATAATGAGATAGATAGAAAGATAAATGATTGTTACCGCCATACTATTTCTATTGGTTCAGAGTAAACAGAAAACACATGACTGAACCCTGATTTGATCAGGCACTAATGGACTCGGCGGCATACAGGAGTGGTGTGTGCATTAGTATAAATTCTTTTTAATCTACAAAAGTAAACAAATTGAACGTGAAATAGAAAACTCTGAAATAGGAAGATTACTTTAAGACTAAGATTGATATTATAAAAACTTGAGAAACAGCAATTGTGCAAAGTACCATCTAGATCAAATAGATTCTAGTACAAATTTGTACACTCTCAGTACAGCTGTATTCTGACGTCACTTAAGTGCCAATTCAGTTTTTGTGTCCAACAAAATTATTAACCATAGTGATAATTTTAGAGTAAAGTGCTTTTCTTAAAGTAAAATAAGTGCATTTTTATGTGTTCTTTATTTTCTGTTTTTACACTTTATTATTTAATCTTGGAAAACATTTCGTTTTCCTCGTTATATTTGACACTTGTGACGTCTTGTATAATTGGTCCATTTCTCTGTTGCCCCCTATTTGATCCAGATGAACTTTCAATATAGTCTCAATTTTCTATCCTACCTAAAAGTTTTCTTTTTTGACCATCAAGTAATTATTCATTACCCTTCTTAGCATCAATAAACTGGCAGCTCTTTATTTTAACTAGCTAAAGGGCCCGTGGAAAAAAATTGAATAAATTTTTTTTTAATTCCGATTTTTAGCCTATAACACCCCCGGCCGACCATGAGTGTCCACAAAAAAGTCCAGCCCATTTAAAATTCGGTGATAGTAATAAACCAAACCTCTGTAGAGTAAAAAAGTAGATATGTTAGTTCCACATTTATTGAAAATATATTTCGGTCTGGGTTGACCCTGGTTAAAATCAGCCCAATTGTTCCAACCGTTTGACCGGCTAAACACTTAACATTTATACGTATGTCTTGTTTTATTACATAGGCCATATCTGCTTATGGGACACTCATAAATGTTGTAAGATAGAGTGATAATTTTTCCGCAACTGCAGTACTTTACTGTTTCGTTTATTATTCAAACCAATTTGCTTATGGGACACTCATAATTTTATAAGATAGAGTTATACTTTATTGTTTCGTTTATTATTCATAACAATATTTTTACACCTTCAAAATTGACGGAGATACTATAAGAAATAGGTCAAGATACTAATTTATAAATAACGATAAAATCGTTCAAATGTTTAATATCTCCGTCAGCTTTGAAGATATCATATTTTTTAAAGCTCATGAAGACGTATAACCATTATTTTAATACACTCTTTGTCATTTATCAAATATCGGAAATCGAAGACGACATTTAATTCATCTCTTCATTCCTGTGTATTTGGGGACATCCTGTACATGCACTCATACAATCCAAGGTATTAAACTAATACAAGGAAAGTTATTTCATAGGTGTACGCATTTTTTGTAATGCAGTGTAGTGTCTTAGGNCCTGCCCCCGTCGTTTTGTCCGGAATGAATGAAATATTCAGGACAAAGTCTGAGGAATAATTTTATCAAGTTTCTCGGTCAATCCTTTGAATGGGTGCACACAGTACGCACACGCGCCTAATCAGCTGGGTTGGGGCGCTCATACGCGCGCAACCTTCTCCCGTTTGGGCATAAGCACCCACCACCATCTATCCAAGCGAAATCTAAACTTTAGTTTGAGCCAAGACTTGCAATAGCACTATAGTAGTCGTTGTACATATAATTGTAATTAAATACAGACATACACCTACAAAAATATGTGAATTCTGCAGAGAAAACAATTGTAAAACAAAAGTGATATTCTTGTTAAAAATGTGAAAAATCAGATCAGCAAATCAATAAAAACGTAAGTAGTAAATTTCCAAAGCGAGTAGAGTTAAATTTTATTAAAATGTAATTTCATTCGCATAAATAAAAGAGATCAAACTATAAACTATTCATAAATAATAGAAACGGACCACTGTAGTTTCAGTAGAAGTAAATATTTCTATATTAACTGCTTAGCGCCGATTTAAGGATTAATCTCTAATTGGATAATAACATAGATAGAAAGATAAATGTTACTGCCATACAGAATGTACACCAAACAAATGACTGAACCCTGATTGGATCAGGCGCTAATGAAATCAGCAAACAAGTGTGGAACGTATACGATCTTTGTACCAAACTGTGATTTTCATATAACCTTAGATATTTCAAAACAATGAATTCAAATCATTTTAGTTTAAAAAAAAATAAAAGTTAGAAAATTTGAGTCGGTAGCAAAGACTCAATTTCTATGAATGTGTAAAAGTATTTTAATTTAACTACCCAGGTTCGAGGTATTATATAATATTATATGAACTTTTAATATCTTAAAGAAAAATCAAAGGAAATTTAAACCTAATTTTTGGTGAATCTCAATTTTGGGGCGACAAGTCCATTTCACTATGGTACCCTCTACACCTCTTCTGAACAACAATGATGAAGATATTATTGTTTAAGTCTGTAAATTTTCTTTCCCTCTCTTTATGCTGCATTAATACGCAGATTAAAACACAAAAGTTTTAAAGGGTACCGTTGGGAATCAGTCAGATTGAATGAATTACGTCTACTATTTCTTTAATATAATGGTGTTGTGTGTATTTCTAGTGTGTCTAGAGAGAGAATATGGAAATGTGCATTTTATTACTGCCTTCAGAAATATTTCCCGTAAATTCTCTAGGATAGAGTTTCATGCTATGAACGTTTTCAAAAATATAAAAATATGTGTATGGAAGATTCAAAATTTCAAAATAATCTCATTTCAAGCGCTGCATTCTCTTTAACAGATAAAAAAATTAAATTTCTACATCAAATACCGTGAAAGATTTATATTTTTTACAATTATATAACTAACAAACAAAGAATCAAATATTAATTTTGTATGAAGGTTCAATAGTTCTGTAAATTTAGTTCTTTGGGCGGAAATTAGCTCTAAGGCGTATGCTTCAAAGGGTAAGTTTTGAAGACTTTACCCTGGGTTTCCCTAATGTTTTTACTCAGGATCAGAAGTATTACAAACTTTAACCGAATGCAGTTTTGATATGTTTAAAGTGTTAATAAAAGTTTTTAAGAAACCAAATTTATCAACAACAAAAAACTTGCAGTTTCATAGTGGATTAGTACCTGTGACATTTAAGCAGTCTTATGTTTTTTTTCAGTAGTTTGAAAATAAATTTATTTATTAAAATTAATGTTTTCATGTTCAATGGCCTATCTAAAACAACATCTTTTATCCCTTTTTAATGAAGTTTTTTATTGTTTAATCACTGTCTTTATTCTGTACATGTCAAACTAAATTAAATTGCACGTTAAAATAAAATTTTGTGAGATATGGAAGAAAAAAATATTCTCATGCTTTTTCTTAAAATCAAATCTAGAGAAGCTACGCGGTCGCAAAGTCACAGCAGTAATGTCGCACGAATTTTAACTGCCCCCGTCGTTTTGTCCGGAATGAATGAAATATTCAGGACAAAGTCTGAGGAATAATTTTATCAAGTTTCTCGGTCAATCCTTTGAATGGGTGCACACAGTACGCACACGCGCCTNTTTAATTGTCCCAGGATTCTACCCATCCTCCCTGTAGTAGAAATGCACACTTTTCATCAGTATATTGTGTATTTACTTTGCAAAATTCCGTGTTGATTTATTGCTGCTGGAATCTGTGAGTGTGCAGAATTGTGATTTGCGAAATACAGCACATGGCCTGGCAAATAGGAATGGACATCATTTTAAAACGATCGAAAAGAATATTTGTTTTTCGTTTCGTTTTTGATTTCTAAATTCTTAAAAAACGATAGTTTTTGGAAAAAAACACGAGTGGTCAAAACAAACTGTCAAAGTAAGTTTTGTTTAATTTTCAATTTTCAAAAACTAATTCTAATTCTTTCTTTTTTTCATTTAAAAAATCGATTTTAAAATAATCGCGTGAAAACAGTTTTTTGTTTTAATTTCTTTTCCATTTCAAAAGGATCAAAGTCGTTTTTAAAAAGTTTAAATTTGCCCATATCTATAATACCATAGATTCATTCTACAATAGAACTCAGGCGTTGAATCAAAAAAGGGAGGGGGTGGGTGGGGACGACTCAAGATTTGAGACTTTAAACTATTAGGATCCTGAGACTTGCAAGTAAAGACTTGTGACAATAGATCTAAAATCGAGACAATAATATAATATATTCAATTATATATGATCTATAGATGATAACTTTATATAAGACATGGGCCATGTGACCACCCGCATTTTTGGCATTTTATCGTGCATTTAGTCTACACTGTACACTGTACAGGCTGAGACCAAAAATACTAAACGTATTTTTATTTCAAAGTTTGACCCAAAATGGAAACATTGTAAAATAATTTGAAGACCATGATTCATAAAACATTTTATGCCACAATTTTGTTTCTCTCAGGATATGGTTTGATGTTATGATGCTTATTAAGTCGTTTTATTTCCACTCTATTAAACTCTTTAAACTCCTGCAAATTCTGAATTTTTTTAGTTTACATTACTCTTTCTTTAATTTAGACTCGTTTCCAACTCTACACTTTCTTTCCGTATAGTTCTTTATCCTCTTCTCTCCCCTCATTTTCCCTGATTTCTCTCCATCTCTTTTCCTTTCCTTTTCCCCCCCCCATATCCATTCTTTCGATCCTTCATCCCCCCTCCCTTTTCTTCTCCCTTCCCCTCCCTTCCCTTCCTATCCCTTCCCATCCCTTTCCCTCCCTTTTCCTCTCTACCCCTCTCTTCCCCTCCTTTCTCCTCCCTTGGCCTATTTATAAGGGGGGTATATATCTAGGCGAAGAATGCATATTGGAGTTGACAATTATCTGGCATGTTCAGTTTACCAGGTCTCTTCTACTTAGATTCGGATTGTTTAACATGAGGGAAGAAAGGGGGGATTGGTTGGTATGAGGGGGGGGGNGTACAAGAAGGGGCGTTGAAAAGTGGATTGTTTAATGTTTCTCTGTTTTTCCTCAGAACTAATTTTGTGTTTTAAAAGAATCAGTATAAGCCTCCAATTGACCTTCATCTCCATGTATTTATATTTCTACCCTCCACTTTGACCCCAAAGCATCCCTCTGCCCCCTACTAAGTTCATATGATGTAATATGTTTCATAGCAGTGAATCCAATTCCGTAGATACGATCTTTTCATTAATATGAAGAATGGTGTTCACTCTACACTCTACACATACTAAGTATGAATCATGACAGGAGATATATAGACTGTAGAGAGAAAGAGGGTTAAACATATCAGAATCCATGAAACCAGGACAAGAAATCATGAAACCTGATTATTCTCCAGGTTTAGGAGCAGGACAAGAAATCATGAAACCTGATATCTCTCCTGGTTTAGGAGCTGGACTAGAAATCATGAAACCTGATTTATCTCCTGGTTTAGGAGCAGGGCAAGAAATCATGAAACCTGATTTTCTCCTGGTTTAGGAGCTGGACTAGGAATCATGAAACCTGATTTATCTCCTGGTTTAGGAGCAGGACAAGAAATCATGAAACCTTATTTTCTCCAGGTTTAGGAGCTGGACTAGGAATCATGAAACCTGATTTTCTCCAGGTTTAGGAGCAGGACAAGAAATCATGAAACCTGATTTCTCTTAGTTTAGGAGCAGGGCTATAAAATCATGAAACCTGATTTCTCTCCTGATTTAGGAGCAGGACTAGAAATCATGAAACCTGATTTCTCTCCTGGTTTAGGAATAGGACTAGAAATTATTAAACCTGATTTATCTCCAGGTTCAGGAGTAAAACATGAAACCATGAAACCTGATTTCTCTCCGTACAGGAGCAGGACAAGAAATCATGAAAACTGATCTTTCCTATTTTCATTAGGGTTAAGAATAAATTGTCCCAGAGTTATAATATTTGAATTGTCCAAAGATTCTACGGGTTTAATTGTCCCAGGATTCTACGGAATGAACTGTCCCAGGATTCTACGAAATGAATTGTCCCAGGATTCTACGGAATGAATTGTCCCAGGATTCTACGGAATGAATGGTCACAGGATTCTACGGAATGAATTGTCCCAGGATTCTACAGAATGAATTGTCCCAGATTGTCCGAGGATTCTACGGAATGAATTGTCCCAGGATTCTACAAAATGAATTGTCCCAGGATTCTACGGAATGAATTGTCTCGGGATTCTACGGAATGAATTGTTCAAAGATTCTACGTAATGAATTGTCCCAGGATTCTACGGAATGAATTGTCCCAGGATTCTACGAAAATGAATTGTCCCAGGATTCTACGGAATGAATGGTCCCAGTATTCTACGGAATGAATTGTCCCAGGATTCTATGGAATGAATTGTCCCAGGATTCTACGGAATGAATGGTCCCAGGATTCTACGGAATGAACTGTCCCAGGATTCGACGGAATGAATTGTCCCAGGATTCTACAGAATGAATTGTCCCAGAGTTCTACGGAATGAATGTGGGTATACGACGAATGCAAGCAGTGCCTTCAGTTGAGGCAATTACTGATAAAGGATTATCCTCAGATTACGATACCTTCTCATTCTAACGTTCAAATCACAAAGGATTAGAAAAACGAAGGGACCCCGTCACCCCCCTCCCTTCCTTCTTATTGTGTCTCCTCACTATTTCTCCTTGCCCACCCACCCCTCTCTCTCACTCCTTGTCAACCTTTTTTTCTCCTTACCTCTCCCCCTTTTCCTCCCTTTCCTCACTCTTATTTGTCCCCCTTTTTTGATGTCCTGCCCTCCCTCCTCTGTCAGCGGATGGTATAACTATTATACCTTTTAGTTTACTTTACAGCCTGTAATTTCCATAATTTCTCCGCGCATTA